ATTAAAAATACATCTGATTAGAAAGTAGTAATTGGTAATATGCATCAAGAATGTGTTCGTGCATTTCGACCCAGTAACTTTGCTCCTCCTTTTCTTTTTTACTTTTCTTTCTTTCTTTCTTTTTTTTTTGAGACGGAGTCTCTGTCACCCAGGCTGGAATGCAATGGTGCGATCTCGGCTCACGCAACCTCCACTTCCTGGGTTCAAGCGATTTTCCCTGCCTCAGACCCTGACTAGGTGGGATTACAGGCGCCTGCCACCACACCTGGCTAATTTTTGTATTTTTAGTAGAGACAGGGTTTCCCCATGTTGGCCAGGCTGGTCTTGAACTCCTTGACCTCAGATGATTCAGTCACCTATGCCTCCCAAAGTGCTGGGATTACAGGCATGAGCCACTGCACCTGGCCTGCTACTCCTTTTCAACCTAATTACAGAAAAAAGGTTTATATTGTAAAAAATGTCACCTTATCCCTTATTTGTAAGAGAAAATGCATAATGGAAAAAATCTTGAATAGCTAACAACAGTAAATTATGGTATGTTCATGCAATGATGTTTATAAAGTTTTAAGGTTGAGTGGGAATGTTGATAGTTAATGCAATTAAAATCAAACAGGATTTAAAATTACAATATTCAATATGATCCAGCAATCCTACTACTGGGTATTTATTCAAAGTAAAGGAAATCAGTATATCAAAGAGGCATCTGCACTCCCATATTTATTGCAGCACCATTCACAATAGCCAAAATATCAATCAACCTAAGCATCCATCAACAGACGAATGGTTAAAAAAGTGTGGTATATATTTGAATGGAAAACTATTCAGCCACAAAAAGGAATAAAATCCTGACATGGATGAACCTGGAGGACATTATGGTAAGCAAAATAAGCCAGGCACAGAAAGACAAATATTACATGTTCTCACTCATATATGAAATCTTTTTATGTTTTATTTTTATTTTTTTGAGACCGAGTCTTGTTGTGTCATGTAGGCTGGAGTGCAATAGATCAATCTCAGCTCACCACAACCTCCACCTCCCAGGTTCAAGCAATTCTCCTGCCTCAACCTCCCCAGTAGCTGGGATTACAGGCATGCACCACCACACCTGGTTAATTTTTTTGTATTTTTAGTAGAGACGGGGTTTCTCCATGTTGGTCAGGTTGGTCTTGAACTCGCAACCTCAGGGGATCCACCGCCTCGGCCTCCCAAAGTGCTGGGACTACAGGTGTGAGCCACCACCACGCCTGGCCATATATGAAGTCTTTTAAAAAGCTGATCTCACAGAAATAGAAAGTAGAATAGTGGTTACTAGAGGCTGGGAAGGATAGGAGGGGAAGGAAAAATAGGGAGAGGTTGATTAAAGGATACAAAATTATAGCTAGATAAGAGAAATAAGCTTTACTATTCTACAGCACGATAGAGTGACTAGAGCCAACAACAATTTATCATATACATTCAAATTTCTAGAAGAGAAGATTTTGAATGTTCCAAAGATAAAGAAATGATAAATGTTTGAGGTTATGAATATACTGGTTACTCTGTATATTAGTCAGGGTTCTCTAGAGGGACAGAACTGATAAGAACAGATACCCTATATCCATATATATATCTTATATATATAATATATATATATGGGAGCTTATTATTAACTCACACAATCACAAGTTCCCACAACAGGCCATCTGAGGAGCAAGGAAGCCAGTCCAAGTCCCAAAACTGAAGAATTTGGAGTCCACGTTCGAGGCCAGGAAGCATCCAGCAGGGGAGAAGGATATAGGCTGGGAGGCTAGGCCAGTCTACTCTTTCCACGGTTTTCTACCTGCTTTATATTCTAGCCAAGCTGGCAGCTGATTAGATGGTGCCCACCCAGATTAAGAGTGGGTCTGCCTTTTCCAGCCCACTGATTCAAATGTTAGTCTCCTTTTGGCAATACCCTCACAGACACACCCAGGAGCAATACTTTGTATCCTTCAATCCAATCAAGTTGACACTCAGTATTAATCATCACACTCTGATTAGACCACTACACATTGCATACATCAAAACATCACCAAGAACCCTACAAATATGTACAATTATTATGTGGTAATTTTTTAAATAATTTTTTAAAAAGAAAGAAATCAACCAGGGGATGATACAAGAGATAGAAAGTAGGCATGAAAAAATACCTTAATAAAATGTATTATTGCCCAAAAACAGAAAAACAAAAATAATTACAGAATTCAGTGTGAATTTTGTAAATATGTGCACAAAAGGTCTCACTGACTATCTCAGGCACTGCTCAGGGTTCATTCATAAGATAGGAGCATTATTAATGCCTCTTACAGATGAGACAGTTGATGTTCAGAGAGATTTTCTAGAACATCCTCAGCTAGTAAATAATCAATTAAGGCATGGGTGAAGCCTCAGTTTTGTCTGACTCCAAAATCAAGATTTTGGCCAAGTGTGCTGGCTCACACCTGTAATCCCAGCATTTTGGGGGGCCAAGGCGGATGGATTACCTGAGGTCAGGAGTTTGAGACCAGCCTGGCTAACATGGTGAAATCCCATTTCTATTAAAAATACAAAAATTAGCTGGGCTTGGTGGCGGGCACCTGTAATCCCAGCTACTTGGGAGACTGAGGCAGGAGAATCACTTGAACCCGGGAGGTGGAGGTTGCAGTGAGCTGAGATGGTGCCATCACACTCCAGCCCGGACAATAAGAGTGAAATCCTGTCTCAAAAAAACAAAAACCAAAATAAAACAAAAAGTCAAGATTTTAACCTTTATCCTGCCACCCTGGCATCAAAATGTTAACAGTAGTTATCACTGAGTAGTGGGATTTTATAGGTGGTCTCCTTTTCTTCTTTCAAACTTTTCTTCACTTTGCAATATTTTCTACTGAAGGCATTATTAATTTTATGCTAGAAAAAATATTATCACATTACATATCTAAAATTTCATAATTTTAGAGCTTATTTAGATGGTGCCCACCATCTAAATAACTTGTAGGATTCTGTCTTACAGAAATAAAAACATCAATAGGTAAAGATATATGTTCATGAATAGTTATCACAGTACTATGTGTACAGGAAAAACTGGAAAAGCGTGACTATCCACTAATAATGAAATTGTAATACATCAACATCCATCAATTCAATGGAATATTAAGTAGTCATTAAAAATAATGAGATCTATAAGTGGGTGGGAAATCAGCTTGCAGAGTATTGTGTCCAGCCTGGCTACTCCAGAGTGCCCTACGGTCCTGCAGCCTTGGCATCGTGCATGTTCTCACTCATCTGTGGAGTTTTTTAAAAAGTTGATCTCATAGAGGTAGGAAATAGAATAGTGGGAGCTTGTTGGAAATGCAGAATGTACACCCCAGAACTACGGAACCAAAATTGCATTTTAATAAGATTCCCTAGGGGAAACACTGGTGTACAGTATGATCCCAAAGCAAAAGATTTCTCGTGCATTGTGCAAAGCTGGATAGTCACAACCAAAATCTATCCTCTCCTTCTAAACTAATAAACCCCTCATTTTTAGCTGGGAACATGGCCATCCAAAATAGAGATTATACTTCCCGGCCTTCCTCAGAGTTTGGTATGGCTGTATAATTAAGCTCTGACCAACGGGACAAGACAGTAAGTGAAGAATATCATTTCTGCATTGTGCTGCTAAAAGAAAAGTATCTGTATCCCCCTGGTTATTCTTCTTTCTGCTAACTGAAAAATGTCAACAACTGAATCAGCCACTGTATCAGTCAGCCTGGGCTGCCATAACAAAACACCACAGACTGGGCAACTAAAACAACAGAAATTTATTTTCTCACAGTTCTGGAGGCTGGAAAGTCCAAGTTCAAGGTCCAGCAGGGTTTGGTCTCTGGTGGGGGATCTCTTCCTGACTTGGACACAGCTGCCTTCAGAGCGTCCTCCCATGACCATTCCTCAGTGCATGTACATGGATAGAAAGATCTCTTTCTCTTCCTCTTCTAATAAGGACGCCTATTAGAAGAGGTGTCCTGCTGGATTAAGGCCCTACTCTTATGCCCTCAATTAACCTTAATTGCCTCCTAAAAGCTTTGTTTCCAAATACAATCACATTGGAGGTTAGAGTTTCAACATATGCATTTGTGGGATACATAATTCAGGTCATAGCATCCACCTTGGACCTAGAGATGAAGCCACAACAAACATGTTCTACCCTCCTAACTGTCTACCTCTGAACTATTAAGCAAGAGAGAAATAAACTAGCATGTTGGTCAAGTTACTATGTTTTGGTTCTCTTTGTTATAGCCGCTTAACCTATTTCCTCACTGACTCATACGTATGTATGTTTACATGCATTCCACTGAGCAAGAATAAAAGTATGAAACAATGCCCTTTAAACTGTTGCTGTTGATTGCTACAAGGCAGGAGTGATGGATAAACTAAAATAAGAATATTGAGGGGAAAAGTTATCCAACAGCACCTCAGGTTTTGCAATCACAGCCAATATCTAGATGACTGTGGGAAACACACTTTTCCCAACTTTATTAATAAATGCTTAAAACAGTAAGAATCTTTACAACAGGACTCTTCCCCCCTCCTTCCACCTACCCGAGACCAAGTCTCACTCTGTTGCCCAGGCTGGAGTGCAGTGGCGTGATCTCAGCTCACTGCAACCTCTGCCTTCTGGGTTCAAGTGATTCTTGTGCCTTAGCCTCCTGAGTAGCTGGGACTACAGGTGTAAGCCACCACACCTGGCTAATTTTTATATTACTATGTTGGCCAGGCTGGTCTTGAACTCCTGACCTTAGGTGATCCACTTGCTTTGGCTTCCCAAAGTCTGAGATTATAGGCATGAGCCACAGCACCCGGCCAGGATTCTTAATTATAATGAAACATGACACAAATTTCAGTTCTAAATACACACTGATTTCCCCTCCCTCCCTCTCTTCCTCTCTCTGCAATGGGCATGCTGTAGCCCAGGGCAGCCCAGGGAGAGAGGTAGAATGAACATGATCCCAGGGTCCCATTGCAGTTGGAACATCTTTCCAGTTTTATTTTCAGTTCTCCTCTCTGCACTCCAAGGTCGTAGGATTTCCACATGCCCTTGGAAGAGCCTTTGGAAGGTATTTTCATCCTTCCTACTGGTAAAATGGCATCAAGGGTCCCCACCGGTTCAAGATAGGGACCTTGACTATATGGTGATGAAGACAGGGACACCCTGGCAGTAGCAGGTAGCCTTTGGCTATCTCTGCAGCAGGCTGGTGCTTGGGATCCAGGAGGCACGGAAAGTCAGCACTCCGGAGGAGCTGGTTGGGGTCACCCTGGGCCAGGTGCAGATCGTGGGAAGCTGGATATGTGAAATGGCAGGTACTGGTGAACTTGCACTCATCCTCCCATGTGGCCTCATGTTCCTGTGATGGGAAGAAGCCAGGAAGTCCCAGGTCTTTGGCAGTCATGTGGGGTCTTTTGAAAGCAGGGTACCCATCCGTTAGCTTGGGGTTGGGGTTAGGGATGGGCCTATAAAACTCTTTGTCCCGGAGTTGAGCATCAAGCTTTGCCTGCTGTGGAAACAAATCACACATGAATGGAGGGGTGAGAGACGAGAGATGATGTAGCTTTTCTTGGAAGCATCCAAGACAGAGCACACCCTTCTTTGTTTTATTTTTCAAAAACTTTAAATTAGTCCTTGAATGTAACCTATACAGCAGAGGGAATACTGAAATTACACAAAAGAGTTTATAGTGAAAAGTAAGTCTCTTTTCCATTCTCCTCCTCCCTCAGTTCCCATCTCCAGAGACAACCACTGCTATCAGTGCTTTTTGTGTCTCTCTAGAAATATTTGATGTGCATATAAACATGTATGTGTATATCTTCTTCCCTTGGTTTGTACAGAAATGATAAATATTATATTCCATTCCACACTTTGCTTCCATTAAATAACATCTCAGAGATTGATCCATCTTTGTTTGTTTAGATCTTTTCTCAGTGGGGAAACCTCAGGACAAGAAAAGATTTTTAAGTAATCTTGAAAAGAGAAAATGATAAAGGAAAAAACTGATAAATCTATATTAAAAATCACAATTCACACTCCCTGAAATATTTAGTGCAAAGACAAACCACAAACTGGAGAAGAGTTTATCCACATATATAACTGACAAATGAAAAATGCTTAGGGCCAGATGTGGTGGTTCACGCCTGTAATCCCAGGAATTTGGGAGGCCGAGGTGAGTGGATCACTTGAGGACAGGAGTTCGAGACCAGCCTGGCCAACATGGTGAAACCTCATCTCCACTAAAAATACAAAAGTTAGCTGGGTGTGGTGGTGCACGCCTGTAACTCCAGCTACTCAGGAGGCTGAGGCAGGAGAATCACTTGAACCCAGGAGGCAGAGGTTGCAGTGAGCCGAGATTGCACCACTGCACTCCAGCCTGGGCAACAGAGCCAGACTCCTCAAAAAAAAAAAAAAAAAAGGAAAAATGCTTAGAATATTTTTTAGAAGTCCTACAAATGAATAAGAAAAAGACAAGCAACCCAGTAGAAAAATGAGCAAAAGACATGAACAGACATTTTATAAAATAACAAATCTCCATCAACAAATGAAAAGGTGGCCAACCTCATTAATAGTCAGTGAAATGAAAATTATGACCACAGGAAAATATGATTTTGCACCCACCAAACTGGCAAAAATTAAAATGTCTGCCAATACCAAGCAATGGCAACATTGCAGAGCAACAGAAGTAACCGTCTCCTGCTGGCTATAATGTAAATTGGTGCAACCGCTCTGGAAAACAGTGATTTTACCTAATACTCCATGACTAACAATTCCACTCCTGGAATGGATAAACTCTTGAACATTCGGATGTGTCTTATCTCATCTTCAATGCAGCATTTGGGAGTGGGAAGAGTAGGAACAAAGCACTCAAATGTCCACCAATAAGAAAAGACAGATACAGAAGAGACAAATACAGTACACTGTGGCATATTCACGCAACGTGATACTATGCAGCAGAAAATGAATAATACACCATAATGCTTAGCAAAAAGTGACAATTGTGGAAGGGTACAAATTCAATATGTAATAAAGTTCAAAAAGGCAAAACCAAACAATTTGTTTGAAGGGATATATACATATAAGGTAAAATGAGTTTTTAGAAAAACACACAAGGGAACAATTTTTTGGGGGAGGGATAGAGTTTCGCTCTGGTTCCCAGGTTCAAGCGATTCTCTTGTCTCAGTCTTCCAGACAGCTGAGAACATAAGCGTGCACCAACACGTCAGGCTAATTTTTGTAATTTTTGTAGAGACAGGATTTTGCCACATCAGCCAGGCTGGTCTCAAACTGCTGGCCTCAAACTCCTGGTCTCAAACCCCTGGCCTCAACTCCTGCCTGCCTTGGCCTCCCAAAATGCTGGGATTACAGGTGTGAGCCACTGCAATTGGCCTACAAGGGAATGATTAACCACTTCTGGAGATGGGAGGAGGGGTAAATCTGTGGGCTACCCAAGAGGCTACAAGGTACTGCTACTGTTAATGTGCCATGTTTTAAACTGTCTGTAATGGTTATATCGGTGTTTATCAGTGTAATTTAAATTGTAAATGTGTATTATTTACAATCTTTTGTATGCATGATATATTTGATGTACATTTGAAAACATACACACATGGCCGGCCACAGTGGCTCACGCCTGTAATCCCAGCACTTTGGGAGGCCAAGGCAGATGGATCACGAGGTCAGGAGTTCAAGATCAGCCTGGCCAAAATGGTGAAATCCCATCTCTACTAAAAATACAAAAGTTAGCCGACGTGGTGGCAGGCACCTGTAATCCCAGCAACTAGGGAGGTTGAGGCAGGAGAATTGCTTGAACCCGGACAGGCGGCAGAGCTTGTAGTGAGCCGAGATTGTGCCACTACACTCCAGCCTGGGTGATAGAGTGAGACTCCGTCTCAAAAAAAAAAAAAAAAAAAAAAAATACATACGCATACATGCACATGCACATAAAAGATCTCTAAGTCACATCTCCTGGCGTTGGATAGTGTTCTAACAAGTGCCCAAATGTCCACATTTGTAATACAAATGAAGCAATAGAGGGGATTTCAGTGGACAGTTGATTGAAGGACAGGACTTGCGTGCCTTCCTACCTCTTGCGGCGTGACCCTGGAGTATTTGTGCTTCCCGTAGGGTTGATAGTCGACCATGTGGGAGCTTTGGTATATGTCTAAATCCACAGGGTCCTAAAGCACACGGAGAATATAAAACAAGAGATTCCCCCTCGTCACTCCTCCGCTTAAAGCCATTCAATGGCTTCTTGCTGTTTGTAGGACAAAGGCTGACTTTGGGCCTGACATTCAGAGCCCAGATGATCTGGCTGTGACCCACTTTTACCATCCCACCACCTTCCTGCCCTCTCTACTCCAGCCTCACTTCCTCCCGCTCGCGTGGGCCTGGCATGTGCTTTTTCCTATCTCCTGATGGAAAGGCAAGTTGCCCTCCTCACAGACTAGCAAACTCCTATCTATCCTCCAAGACCCAGACTACATGTCACTTCCCCAAAACATCTCTCCCAGCCTTTTATTCCCTACCTCCCAAGAGTTAAACCCTGTCCTTGTTCCTCACAACCCTCCACAACAGCACTTACAGGGTGTACTGCGATGGATTTAATAAAGTACACTCGATCAGGTTTAGTGTACTTAGACATCTCTGCACTCCCAAAGCCCTGCACAGGGCCTGGCACACTGTGGGTGCCTAATAAGTGCATGCTGAGTAAATAACTGAACCCTCAGAAAATTATAAAGAAGAGAACTCAGTTCTCTTCTTCTTGTACAAAAAAAACAAAAAAAAATAAAACAAAAAAACCCCAAAACTATCATTCCAGAAAGATGAGAAGGAGGAGCCTCAAGGAGCCTGGCCCTTCCAGGGGCTTGCTGAGGCTACCCAACTCTGAGACCATCACAGGGGACAGTAACCCACATCACTCACCTGTCCCGGGTATTTCACACCTGCCATGGCAAAAGACCTAGACACAGACAAGTTGTTTAGCCCTGCTCTGCCACAGACAAGGAAAGCAGCCACTATCTTCAAGCTGTGCCAACCCAGCATGGCTGCCCCAGCTTTCTTAGCCCACTCCTCCCCATCTTCCCTGGGCTCCCACCTGTCACTCCATCATCAAGGGGTTGGTAGTGATACCAGGATCCCTGGGACAAAAGGGCTGGAGCAGGACCCAGGAAGAATGAGGGTTGTGTAGAAGATCACATTTACTGATCAGGTTTACTGTTTGAGAGGTATATCTGATCCTAGGGCAAGTGAAGTGCTGGTAAATGTTTAACAACCACGTTTTCAGGGAAAATAGGCCCTGGGTTTATAGCATCTGCTAATTTCTGTGGTGTAAATGCTCCTATCGTGGCTCATTTCAGGCTATCAACATAATATCATTGGCACTGAGTTGCACAGATATGCATAGGATGGGCTCTTGTGAGCCAGTATGAAGTGGCTCCAGCTCACGTGTTCCTCTGAACCAGGCCTCAGCACTCCCCCTGGATGGAGGAAGGCCCAGGCCTAGGACTCAGAGCCACCTTTATTCAGAGGGGAGTATCCAAGGTGAAGAAAGTTGCAAGACTCTGCATTCCCAGTTGAACAACAGTAGTTTGTAGGCCTAACTCCGACCCCTCCCTTCCAGCCCTAAAGTCCTAGCAGGGTCCTCGCTGCACAGACTGCTTGTGTACATGGCCCCCTAGATCCTTGAGGGTTACTCCACTGCATTCCCAGGGAACCCTCCCCTAAGCCCCGCTCCCTTCAGCAGACAGTGGCCCAGCAGGGTGGTGCCCAGACCTCAACAAACCCCTGCGTTCCCTTCCTTTTGCTCACAGACAGCTTCTCTCCTAGGGCTGGGGACCAGCGGCCATGCAGACAGAGCCGACCCTTTCTTCTGCCAGGGCAAGACGACGCTCCTGCCCTCCCACCTCCAGGTGCCCTTGCCACATGGAGAGTCCTGTTGCTGTGTCCCACTGCCACGCCTTGTCTTTGAGTTGAGCCCTGACCTATGATGAGGGTCCCTGTCATTGTGAGGTGGGTGGGTGGGTGGCTGCTCGGACTGCCTGCAGGTCAGTTCCCCTGTCCCTGGCTCACCAGAGCCAACATGAGTCCTGGCAGCACTGGAAGGTCTTGGGGACCAGTGCGTTCTGACACTCTACAGAATCTTTCTATTCCTAGGAGAGGAAGGTAAATAGAGACCACGCGGTTTATAACTTCAGACTGTGTGTGACTAAATCCACTTCGCACCATAGACTGCCACCCTGGTCTCGGTTGCCTGACAGGCTGGCTCAAAATTGTCAAAATGTCATACTTTTTGACATTCATAGTGTGTGGCTACAATAAAAAAATATATACAGAAACAAGCTTTGGTGAGGATGTGGAGAAATTAAAACCATATGATTTAGCAAGACCACTTCTAGTTATAAACAAAAAAGAATTGAAAGCAAGGGCTCAAATGGATACCTGTACCCCAATGTTCACAACAGCATGATTCACAATAGTCAAAAGGTAGAAACAATTTAAATGTCCTTCAGAGATGAATGGATTTGGTATATATGTACAATGGAATATTATTCAGCCTTAAAAGGGAGGCCGGGTGCAGTGGCTCATGCCTGTAATCCCAGCAACTTGGGAGGCCGAGGCAGGCGGGTTGCCTGAGGTCAGGAGTTCCAGACCAGCCTGACTAACATGGAGAAACCCTCTCTCTACTAAAAATGCAAAAATTAGCCAGGCGTGGTGGTGGATGCCTGTAGTCCCAGCTACTCAGGAGGCTGAGGCAGAAGAATTGCTTCAACTCGGGAGGCAGAGGTTGCCGTGAGCCGAGAGCACACCACCGCACTCCAGCCTGGGTGACAGAGCGAGACTCTGTCTCGAAACAAAATTGAAGAAATAAAAAAAGAAAAAAGGGAAGGCAATTCTGACACATACTACAGCATGGATAAATCTTGAGGACATTATGCTAAGTGAAATAAAGCAAAATAAGCTGGCCACAAAAAGACACATGCTGCATGATTCCACTTCTGTGAGGTACCTAGAGAAGTACGATTCAGAGAGATAGAAAGTAGAATGATCGTTGCCAGAGGCTGAGGGGAGGAATGGGGAGTTATTGTTTAATGGATATGAAGTTTCTGTTTCAGAATATTTTAAAAAGTTCTGGGAATGGACGGTGGTGATGGTTGCCCATTGTGAATGTATTTAATGCCACTGAATTATGCACATAAAACTGATTAAAATGGTAAACTTTGTTATATATGTTAAATTGTATATATATTTATGTATATTTTATATATTTTATGTAAGTATATATAAATATGTATATTTAATTATATATTATATTAAACGTATCTCAGCTCACTGCAACCTCTGCCTTCTGGGTTCAAGTGATTCTCAGCCTCCTGAGTAACTAGGATTATTGGCATGCACCACCACGCCTAACTAACTTTTTTCATATTTTTAATGAAGACAAGGTTCCACCATGTTGGCCAGGCTGCTCTCAAACTTCTGAACTCAATTCATCTGCCCGCCTCGGCCTCCCAAAGTGCTAGGATTACAGGCGTCAGCCACCAGTCCCAGCCTTAAACTTCTGTTTTTTATAAATTACCTAGTCTGTTGTATTCTGTTATAGCAACAAAAAATGGACTAGGACACTCCCGTTTGGGGATCACATGGTGTGGGTGGTGCTGATCCTACTCCAACTCTAAATGGGCACATTGCCACCAGAATATTCCACTCTCTAGGCCAGAGTGATTGATTCAGGGAGAGGCTCATGATCCCAGCTGGACTGATGAGTGCCATCCCTAGCTCTTGGGAAGGAAGAGCTGAAACAGCAAGCACTAAGAACCATGTGAGCCTCAAGCTGCCTGAAGCCACTGTGTAGAGAAAGTCAGGCCAATAATAAAATCAGCACAAAGAAAAAAATACCCAAGAGATAGAAACAGCAATAGCATTTTGACTAACACTGAGCCCCTGGATATAACCATGCCTGAAGTTTGACCTAAATCTACACTTCACAGTCTATATGAGCCAGTACATTCCTTTTCTTACTAATGCCAATTTCAGATGAGTTTCTGTAACTGTCAGCTGAAACAATACCTACAAATTCAAGGTTGGAGAGCCCACATAGTTATTTCTCCTAACTGTGGGATTCTTGAGGGAAAGAGCTGGATCTTACTTTTTATTACTCAGTGCATGGGCACTTAAGTGTGGGGATTTAAGAAATGCTTGTGAATTAAATAAAACTGAAAGAGATGGCAAAGGCTAAGGCAAAGAACAGAGTGGCCACAGGGATAAGAGTAGAGGGGACAGCTGGGGCATAACAAGTGATTTTTGTGACCCAAGTATGTCTTTTTCAGAAAAATATTACCAAGTACACTTTTGGAGTCCTGAATTCAAATTCTGATACTTGCTATCCTCATGTCTTTGAGTAAATCATGTAAGATTAATAAAAGGCAGTTTGATCATCTGTAAAACAGAGGTAACATCTACCTGAAAAGAGCGTAGGAAGTCAACAGATATGTCTGTGAAGGTGCTTAGTGTTCTTCATACCAATATTTACCCCCATATTTTTTGAGTTCCTGCCATATCTCAGGCATTGTGCAAGGGCCTGGAATTATGGTAATGAAATAAAATAGAAATGGTCTCTGTCCTTATGAAGTTACAGTACGGTGGCAGATAAAAATTCAAATAATCACACAAGTGAGTCTTTCATTACAATTTTGACAAGTCCCATGAAGGAGAAATGTGGAGTAGCGGAGGTTGATCCAGTCTTGGGATCTGGTCAGAGAAGACTTGCCTCAAGCAATGACATTTTAACTCGGTTCTAAAGGGAAAGGAGAGTTCTGTTCGCTGCCCTAGGGCAGGAAATGGACTTCCCAAGTGTAGGAGAGAAGCTGCTCTGCTGGAGCAGAGCCAGGAGGGACAAGGGCAGCTTCAGATGAGGCTGGAGAGGGGATGCTACCTCATCAAGCAAGGTATGGGAAGAACTTTTGACTTTATCCATTGTAGGCCACTGGATGATGATGATGATGATGGCGGTGGTGGTGGCTGGGACAGTTGGATGAGACGGCAGTAGATATGGAGAGAAGTGAGTAGGTTCAAGAGACGTTAGGAAAGTAGACCACATAGGATTTAATCATTATCAGGAAGAGGCAGTGGCAAGACAGAGTAGGTTCAAAAAGATTCCCAGATTTCTCAAATAAGCCATTGGAACTTGATGGTCCTTTGCTGAGGTGGGAAGGGCAGAAGGAGGCATCAGTTTGGGAAGTGCTATGGTTTCAATATTTGTCCCCTCCAAAACTCATGTGGAAATTTAATCTTCTATGTGGCAGGATTGAGAGGTGGGGACTTTATAAGGTGACTGAGTCATGAGGGCTCTTCAGGAATTAATGAATTAATGGGTTAATGGATGAATGGGTTATCATGGGAGGGCAACTGGTGTCTTTAGAAGAAGAGGAAAAGAGACCTGAGCTAGCACGTTGGCACGCTCAGCCCCTCACCAGGTGATGCTCTGCTCTGCTTTGGGACTCTGAAGAGTTCCCACCAGCAAGAAGGCTGTCACCAGATACGGCCCCTTGGCCTTGGACATCTCAGCCTTTGTAACTGTGAGAAATAAATGACTTTTCTTTATTAATTACCCAGTTTCAGATATTTTGTTATGAGCAACAGAAAATGAACTAATACCAGGAGTAAATCTGTGAGTGCAGTTGGGATCATATTCCAGTTGTGGAGCCTGTGTGGTTTCCAAGAAGAGGCGAGTAAACACCATGAGCAGAAGGGTTTATAGTTCAGAGAAGAAAGTTCTGAACATGTTATACACTCTGGAATTGCTGGATATAGGCGGTACTTGAAGCCAACAGGGAGGATGGACAATATCCCTAATTTAGGTACTGTAGCCTCCCAAGTAGCCCTGCAGAGCAACACTGCCCTGACACTAAAAGGTTTTCTGTGCCTCCCAAATGGAGCGTTCAAGGGCAGCAGAAGGGAAATCAGGCCAGAAGGATGATAAGGTCACTGACACTTGTGCTCAGGCCTTGCTGGTCCATGTACTCGAGCCTCTTTTTAACCCCCTT